TGGAGTCTGGCGCAGCAAGACTGACGTGCCTGGATCTGACAACAATGATTAGGATCGTTACACATATTTTTTTCTGGCGCGCTTTCATGCCTGTCTCCCGAACAGCATGGCCCTCGCGGCGCCGTTCGCCGTTCGAGGTGCCGAAGCAGTGCGTCCAGTTCCACCTCGGCCTGGGAGGCGGGACGGACGAAGCCAGCGATGGACGGATTGGTGATGGATGAGGACACTTCTTTCAGTTGTTATTTCTGGTCCGAGAAAGAAGGGACGGACGCTCATGAGCATGACGCCTAGGGCCTAAGGCTTGCTAAAGTCGCTCGCTGGGCCGAGCTCCGAATCAGATAGTACAGTGAACCGCATCAGAACACCCAACACGTTGGGTAACTTCATGTTTGTAACTTCATGTAACATTTGATGACGATCCTGAACAAAAATCCTCCCCCCAAAAGATCCAAAAACTGCACAACCGGTGTGGAGGCTTTTCTCTCCCATGTTCGTCACGGACTGACTGAGTGATACTGGTGACTCGGTCGACAGGATTCCCACGAAGAGTCGACTGCGCAGTCGCTTCCGCTCCACGTGAGGTCAGTGCCTTGTGCGCGGTTGCCGAAGCGCATTTGGGAGTCGAGGATCAACGCCAGGTGTCTCGCTTGAATGGTCATTTGGGGTGCAGAGGCAGAAGAGGTAGAGGATTTGGGATTGGATCGTTATTCTTTTAAATGTCAGATGACCTCAAAAGGCAAGGGTCTTACAGGCATTACATTTTGGTTCATGAGGATTGACTGTTGAGTTGACACACCAGATGGCATGCATCTTCTAGGATTTCGGCTGTTTGCCGTTTGCATGTGTAGTTTGCTCACGTGGATGGAGTGCCGTAGATGGCAAATCTCGGGCGGATTCGGTGGTTTCTCCTGTTTGCTTCGATTGCCAAAGCTGTCACTTCGCAACACTTCGATCTTAGGTACTCAGGTATTCACTCAAGACCATGCACAACTTGTTTTTTTGCTGGGGAATTTCCATGAAACTGGTCGCTATTACATACTGTACTATTACACACTATTTGCGTGTTTTTAGGACACCGGGGATTTTGACCCACTTCTAGATGAAGTCTCCGCTCTAGCCATCACTTTCGACAGGCCCTACAGGCGGCCACCGAAGCCTTAGCCTTGAGCCGCGCGAGGCAGTGCGGCCAGGTAGAGGCTGGCTTAGTCGCATCTTGCGTGGCGGTTCAGTCTATGCCACCTGGTGAACAAACACAGTATTCACAAATTATATATATACATATATGTATCATCATATACCGTATACCTATGATTCGAGATAGGGTGTCAGGGATTCAATGGATTGACTCTTGCTGAAGCCCTTGTTGTAGGGTCGAATTGGGCTCGCAGGTGGTGCGCTGGGCAGTGGGGTGCAGTACCTGGTGATCGTGCTATTGGGATCTTGTTCCACGCCACATTTTTCTGCATGGAAATAGGAAACCTTTGGGGAAAAGGGCAATAGATTAAAACTCATTGGTTTGGGGCTGATGGGTCTCCCTTTGCAACAGAAACACACACACACACACATGGTCACATGTGCATCCTGTGCATAAAGAAAAGCGATGAGAGTACGATCCTCGACCTTACCCGTGGGATTTCCGGTTGCTTCGAAAGGCTATCTGGACCCGACGAAGCGAACGAGAGAACGAGCATTGGCCGAGCAGGCGTTCGAAGGTCTGCCTCTTCGAACTTTGCTTGCCTCTCCAGTCTCAACCAGAGGCTTAGCCCCATCACACACAGGCATCACAGGCATACAAATCACAGTGTTGCATAGCTTTGCTCGCCTGACCATGTTGTCAATTTTTTCATCGGCCCAACCAAATCCCCCCCAAAAAGGCAGGCACCTCCAAAGAGGTTAATTTGGTGATCACCCTCAACATCTCCTCCCCCCCGTTCTCCGTATTTTGGTCAACTGGGTGCCGCCTCCACCGGACTCGCAGGCCTTGGTGACGCTCTTCAAGGCGCAGGTCTCGGACTCCCACGGTCGGACCGAGAGCCAGAGCTCGTCCGGGAGCTCGGGCGCTTCGGGCTTGAAGGGCTTGAAGGACGAAGGGAGGGACAATAAGAAGACAAAACAAAAAACCCTTTGCATGTTGGACTTCAGAATGAGATGCATGTGGTCATTCTCTCTGTCCGAGATGTATGTGGTCCATCTGATCACAGGCGTCTGCATGAAAAGAACACCCTTGCGAAATTCCATGGACTTTTCCTCCTGAGGTTCTCTGCCCAAACAACAGAATCCAGAATCAGCAAGAGAAATGGGCGAAGCCTCACAATCCAAATCGCAATCCATCAAACCAACCAGTCCGACGGAGCCCTTTTTGGGCGCAACTGCGCACCCTGTCAGGTGGTCGATCATCACCTCCCAACCAATTCACAAACCAAGTCCTACCCTCAAGAGTCCTCGGGGAGCGGGAATCCAGATTTCGGTGCAGCCCGAGGCGCGAGCTGCTGCTGCTGTGGCGAGAGCTGGGTGCCAGCTGGGGAGAGATCGCTGCAGAGCTGTGGCCTGGTGCAGTGGGGCGTAGGTTTTTTTGGAGTGCGGAGAGCAGATGGAGAGAGGGGAGAGCATGGGAAGAAGTGAAACTCTGGTTGGACTGTTGTTGGTAGGGTGGATCGAGGGTTTTATGACAGTGGATGAGAAGAATAGCCTCAACAATCCTCAACATTTTTTTTTTGTGGGTGGAGACTAGATAATACTGTAATGATTTCTCACCAGGAAAACAATGCCCCTCTTGTAATGCTGTGATGAAGCTGGGGTGGGTGATTCTTTTCTCCCCAAACAGCTTTGCTGTGAGGGGTTCTCATTTCTTGCATAGACACGATCCTGGGCCAAGATGATTTCTGGCTCTTTGGCTCTGTGTTCTCCTTTTGTCTCCACCACATGGCTCTTCTGGATGCTGATTCTGCTTTGTCTCTCTTGGTCTCCCAAAAGAAGCATTAAGCTGTCGCTGCTGTTTGTCGATGTATCTTTTTGGTTCTGACATGTTTCAACAAAGCTCCCTAGGCCTTAGGCAGTGTGAGCAGCTCTGTGGAGGACACCATGAACTTCAGCAAAACGACAAAACCATCAGTGATTATCAACCCAATCGCACATCACCGTTCATCACCACTCAAAGACCCATCAGCGGTTGGGTTGATCAAGTCGAATATCTATTATACTTGTTCTGTAGTTCCATGTGCTCCAGATCGAGTTTTCGAGCTCGAGTTGGCTGTACCGTTCCATTGAAGATCACCAACCCCTGAGCTGTTCGCAGGGTTGGGCCTGCAGACCCCTTGTTTGGCCTTACGCAGGTTGCTCGTTGCGATGAGTTCCGCAGGTTGCCTCAGGCTCGGGCGACAACAAAGTTGCCGAAAGAACCGTTTTCGTAGCAGATGCCAGCAACTGCTGCACAGGTCTCCCAGCAACTGGCTTCTGCCCGAAAGAACAAGAGAGAAAATGGCATTTGCGCCGTCCCCTGTACCGATTGGATGGCGACACCGACCGGTTGACACCTTTCGACCCCTTGTGACCTGTTTCGGCCGTGGAGATCTGAGGTGTCGGGAACCGGATCCACGCACCGCGGAGCAACGCACCGCGGACGCACGGGAGTCGCGTGGCAGCAGTGAGGTGGGTAGCAGAGGAGGGCGGATGGGCGGTGTTCGAGCGCGACGTGGGGGGTCCAGCGTTGCTGGCTATGACATGCTATGACTAGGCCTCCAAGCCTTGGGACACTAAGTTGATGCATGTTCTTTTCCACCTTACCTGAGATTTTCCTTGGAAGTCACCAGCCGGTACAGGCAACTGATAGTTGACATGCGGAGAATGGTGGAAGTGGACGGCAGGCCTTGAGCTCGGAGAACCATTTTTTTCCGGTAGAACATCTGATCTACAATTATAAGCTGGTGAACTCCATGATTATTTCAGGGACGCTACTAGGAGCAAAGGGCATCGCTACTAGGAGCAAAGACGCTACTAGGGGCTCCTGGCCGTACTACTAGGAGCATCCTTACTACTAGGAACAAGAGCGTACCAATGTTCCATGTCCAAAAGTGGGACAACACAAAACTCGCACCTCCACAGGCACGAGCGCCGCTGGGCGCTCAGCCGCGGGCTCTGCGACACGCTGCTGCCGGGGCTGAGTGCTGCGGCGCGGAGCACTTTGGAGGAGGGATGGACTGAGGGACTGATGTGGTTTCATGCGAGACTGTGGCCCTTTATTGATTGGGCTCGACTGATCCAAGGTCATATTTATTTTCGTTCAATTTAGTACTCTGTTCTGATCACAGCCAGTTTCCCTTTTAGACGGATGTGATTGAAAGATGCTGGAATTGAATGCGCCAGCAAAGATATCATGAATCCGTGTGGCACTACATGACAAGCTTTGCAGAACAGGCAGCACAGACCCTAAGAGGGACTTCATCGAGCCTTCACATGGAGGCGTGTGCCATTGACTTTGCAGGGGTAGTGTATTACAGAAGGCCTGCAACAGGTTGATCACAGTGTCAAACAACCCCAAAGTCGAGGCACCACTGTTTGACTCCAGGCAATAGTAGTCAATCCTGTGGATAAGCGGGCTATCATCATGGACAGATCTAGAAATCCAGCAGCCCAAGCAGACTCAGATCTTCTGTCGTTTCCCTTGCTGAGTGATGAAAAAGCTTGCAGAAGGCTCCCAGCCTCATGGTTTTTTGGTGCTTCACAAATACATCCCACCAACACCAGCACCGGCGATCGGGGATCACCGCTTCAGCCTGCGGCTCCAGGAGCTTCGGGATGCCGCTGTCGCCGCTGGAGTGACGGACGACGGTGATGCGCGCGAGGCGGACACACCGCCGTCCGGCACCGGCCGGACCGTGGTGGTCCGAACGACGGGACCCGAAGAAGCACCCGTTGGTCTGAAGGGAAAAGCACCAGTTTGAACACCGGACTCTTCCATCAGATGTGTGGTTTCGGATCCTTGACTCCTCAGAGATGACGAGTCCCCGCTCCGCCAGGTTGAGGAGCAGCTCCAGGTGTCGATCCGATGGATTCGAAAGGAGTGAAAGATTCTCTTGATAAATATATTATGAAAAGGCACTGAAATCAGGAGATGTGATTAACTATGTTAGGAGTGGAACACTCTGTTTTTCATGTTTCTTTCTCAGCAAAAAGACTCTGTTCTATTTTGTTTCAGAGGCATGTCGAACCACCGAAACAGATGTACTCGTCGGGTGGTTCTCCACTGAAACTGAATTTGTAGGTTCTGTCGTGCCGTAGGTGGCCACAAGTCACTCTAAACATGTCCGGCCTGGACCGACAAAAAAAGAGGCAAATAGGAAGGATGTCCTAAACCCAGACACTCCATGGGACTAGGATATGATATGTCACAGATATATAATGTATATATATATATATACAATGATACAGCAAGGGACCTTCAGTAGGTACCATTTTGCGAAGCAATCTTTACAAGCAATGTAACATTTGACTGCCCTTTGTAGACCAATAAAGGAATTAACTGATTTTACTGGATCTAAATCATTCAACTCTCAAAGAGAATACAATGAGTTAAATGACGGAACTCATTTGATTCAAATAACTTATTCAATGAATTAAGTGCCACGTGGGTTCTCTGGGCAGGGTTTCATTTGATTGGAATTCCGGATTTCCATTAGATCATTGAGTAATAAGCAAACACATTAGATTAGTTGAATAATGTAGTTTACTTCATTTGACTCCAAAAAGCATGCCCTGGAAACAAACAACATACATGAGTCAATTGCACAAATGAACTCATTTAATTCATGTTTTTAACTATTTTCATGTACAAACTTCAATGCCAGGGTCGTCCTTTGGGCAGGATTTCATTTGATTGGAATTCCGGACCTCAATTTTTTGTTTTACGTAATTAATTCCTAACAGCAGAATGCAGTTGGGTTTCAATCTCCGGGGCTGGGAGTGGTGCACAGTTGGTCTACTGGGCCAAAACCAGAATTCCGTCCTGGAACCCTGGGTGCTGTCTGGGCTGGGAGTGGCGGCTGGAACTTTGGGGGGTGGTGCGCAGTCTGTTTACAGGGCTTGAAAGTGGAACCTGGCTGGTGTTCATCAGGTATCTTAAGACTGTGGAATTTGCAAGTAACATTTCGCCTCGAAGTGTGATAAGTCTATGTAACATACATGGAGTGTCTGGGTAATGAGACCATGAGGGGAGAATCATGGAGTTACTGCCAATCCCTGCCGCTGTTTGTCGACAACCCTCGGCGTCCAATCGTGAGGGCAAGTCTTCCATCAGGATCCGGTGGCATAATTTGCGGCAGTTGATTGTTGACGCTGGAGAGGATATGGCTGGATCATCAATTTCGGCCTGGTCAACGACTGTCTACACAAAACGAAGACCCGGTCGAACAAACCAACCCAACGATCCAAGACCGCCTGGGCTTTGAAGGCCTCCCAACCCCGTGCCACCCACCGCGCCGACCAGCGAACGCCCCACACGCGCCAGGCGGGTCGCTGGAGCGAGGCCCGGCGTGAGGGCGCCAAGAGCCTCCGGCGTCTCCGAGAGGCGCGGCTTCGGCCGGAGTTTGGGGGGGAGATCCATTTTAGGCCGAAAGTGGATGATGGGTTATTCACCCGATTTTTTTTCCGATATCTTTTGTGGATATGTCCTCGTGTTGCCCCATGTTGCCTCTCAAACGCGGTTGTCCAGGCCTTCTCTTTATACTGCTTTGAACATCACATGGTTGTGATACAAAATATGGGTTCTTCTTGTTCGTTGGTGTATTTTTTGGTTTTACGTCAAGCATGAGATGGTAGCCGGTGGGGCATGAACACAAATATGAGAAACATGATGAAGAAGGTACCTCAATGGTGAAGGGTCTTACATGTTCAAGTGCCGGTGACCTCAAATCCACTTGCCCGAGGGGTGTTGATCTCACCAACGGTCGGGGGGATTCGGCGTCCTTTTCACGCTGCCAAATGCCACCAAAACGGGGGAATTGAGAGGTGTTGGCATTGTTCCTTTTGCTGACTTCACAAATTGACAGTTTGTGCCAAACAAACATGATTTCATATGATATCACTAGATCTTAAACACCCTACTTAGACGAACGGGTGCTGAACCACGAACGGGTGCTGAATGGTGTCGTGTCCCTCCAACGATCACTTTGGCCTGTGGTGGAATGTGGGGTTGGTGTGTTGGGATTCCGGTGGGGGTTGGGATTCCGGTGGGGTTGGGGTGGCGTGTTCCAGCTAAAGTCTTTTTGGGAATGTGCCTCCTTTTTGCAAGGACAATCTGATCGATAGAGAGGGCTCGCCAAGCTCAAAGATGGGGTGGGAGGCAGGTATTGCCGCCACAGATTTGAAGTAAAAGATCAGTGGTCTATCATGTGTGCATTCCTCGTTTTGCCTATTCATGACACTATGCAACTAAAGGTCCTATTTTTTGGGGAGTTTCTGGCTATTCTATTCATAGGCTTTCTAAGCTTTCCAGGATACTTAGGCTGTTCAGTCATGTTCAGTCAGTGATCTCACATGCTCTGTGTTGCGATTATGTTTGAATGCAATCAGGAACCTCCTCAGGAGAAGACTGACACCTGAAGGAGCCCCTAGGGAGATGGTCCATAAGGGGGGCAAAGTCCAAGGAACCTTGGCTTAGTTGAGAGATGGCAATCTTGGACACTTGCGCTGAGTGCTTTTCTTTTGGGAGAGCAGCGGGAAGTTAGGGTGGCTAGGGCCAGCACAGGCACAGGCTCCTGAATGCTGAGAAGCAAAAGTGGGACCACAACCGGGTGGTTTCATGGTTCTGAAAAGCCTGCCGACCGACCCTTTTTGCTGCCGCTGGCTCGTGGATTCTGGCACCACTCCCTTGGTGGCGGGACAGGACAGCGGGGAGGAGCTGGCCCAGGGGCTTTTTCGGCAAGTAAACGACAGTTCGGGTCGCTAAGGCAAAATGAGTAATGATTTTCTGAACTGGTGGTATGGTACGGAGTGTTGCTAAGGCGGCTGCTTTCACTACATCACCTGAAAAAGAGAGTCATTTCTTTGGGACCTGACGGACATCGCGAAGAGGTATGGATGTGAGACACAGATCGCCTCCCCACGCCCGGACTTCCAACGACGAAGGCGGACCTGGTCATAGACACATGGAAGAATGAAGCAAAGGACTGGGATTTTTCCCCCAACAACGACTGGAACGAGCTTCTTGACCTCGGTTTCTTGACCTCGATGGGTGGGTCGCCCAGATCCAGTCCCAACATCGATTGAGTTGGTCGCCCAGATGTTTCGGTTTTCTGAGTCTCCCCTAGTTTTAAGACCAAAACCCCGTGTTAAAAGGTTCCCCATTCACCTGGGGGGGCGGCTGCCCATTTTTGGGGGCGTCTCCCAAAAGAACATCGTTTCGCCGTGAAACCCAGGACCGACACAAGTGAGTGTCCGGAACGCCTCACGGTTCCGTTGTTTGGCCAACCTGGAGATGAGTCATGTTCGGGCTGCCCGACCTGTTCGGGATGGCTTGCTCGATGTGTTGGAGAATGCCACCCTTGAGGTTTCTCAGATTTCATGAAGGACCTTTGCGGAAACTGTAGGTGGTTCGTCTGGTTTAGTCACCTGAGTGGGTTTGTTGTTGGCAGTTGAAGGTTCTTTCTTATCTATGTCGGAGGGCCGATGAACACTTGGGCTGTTGATAGCCACGCCTTGGAAGTCAGAAGGATGTTTCGCATAGGAAGTGAAGTGAGCTTTGCACCGCCTCAGAATTCGACCGATTTGGCCTCTTCGTCTGGGAAGGACTTTGGAAGGACCCTTTCCAGGGACCCCAGGAGCCTTTTGGGGGCAGTCGAACAATCCAGGCATAGACCAGGCGTCTTTGATGCTGATCGGATGTTTTTGAGGGATCCAGCTTGGCTTTCCAGATCTCCAGCAACGATCTCTCCCACCTATCTCGTCGTGACGAGGGCCTGTGCCTACCAGGTTCCGGTGGTTTTTTGGGGCGGGTCTCACGTGGACTCTGTGACCAATGGCGGTGACCCTACATCAATCCGAAGAATCAAGGCTCAGTGACCTGCATCAAGGCCTTTGTCCGTTGAAACGGATGGAATAAGCGGTTTGTTTCGCATTTGTTTCAGCGTGGTTCCACCAATAACTGACTAGGGAAAGGTGCTTCCCAATGCTCGCGGCCAGCCAAATAGAAGCTGAAAACCTCTTAGGCTTGGGATCCCAAGATCGAGACCAAGTCCCACAAGGGTTACACTCAGACTCAAATTCACATGAATTAGATGGATAAAGGAGTTTTCTTTTGGTTCTGTTTTGGAGGGCCACCCCAAACCATGGACCAGTGTCATGGACAGATTGTACTCTTCTTGTGCACCTCAGTGCAATGGTTTTTAATGTCTTTCTTTAAAGTCTATCCTTCTTTTGCCTTTTCATGTCCACAACCCCTCCTGATTGGAATTTCCAGCATGTCCCACTTCGAATCGCACGCTTTCGGCAGGTTTAGGATCATCTTTGCCCTCTGTGTGGCGAGGGTGTGTGGCACGCGTCCTGCCAGGCGGTCGATCTGGCCCGGTCTGGCCACTGGAATTGGCTTTGGATTTGAGCAGATCCGAGGGACATTTACCGCACCAAGCTGACTGGTGCGAGGATTTCTTAGGGGATGAGGGAAGAATGAGCTTTTCTGAGGTTATGGAGATTCCTGAAAGGATTCACCCTCACCCCACCCTCTTTTCATGATGCACGCGTCGCAGCAGCTACATTGTTACGAGGCATATTTCTGCAGTCATCGCGTGTCTACCGGGTGACCAAAGCACCCCACCAAGCAGTCGGCTCTTCAACCTTGCTCTGCCAGGCAATACCTCCAGAACAGCTTGCAGGATGAGAACCGGGCGCACTCCCAGGTTGCGGCCCCAGTTCTCTTTTCTTCGGAGCTTTTTGACACCGGTGTAGCCGGGAGTACGTCCCATTCTGCAATTCAGCTTTTGCCCGTGCGGTGCTTTTCCATAGCTATGATCTCAGAGCCGTTTGCTGCAAATGGAACAAATGGAAAATGGAGCTTTTTGGGGAGCAACGGACCTCCATGTGGCTTTCCGGCCACGTTCACTCGTTGCAAGCGGCGGTAGCATGACTCTTGACTCGCATCGCCTTTCTGTTAGAGATTCGTTTTGGATCCATTCGCGGAATTCGGGCATGCGTTTCTGAGAGAGGGTATCTTTGAGAAAATTCCCATCAAAGAAAAGGACCATGGACGGACGGCAAGGGTCATGATGTGATGGCCGTCGATTAATTAATCAACCCCCACATGGAGCACAACATCTCTAAAGAGTGGGGGGTCTTGATCAACGATGTCAATTTTACTTGTCTCCAGGCCAAGAAACCATTGTGAGGTCAAACCCATCACAGCCAATTTCCGTACTGCCAACCAGCACCGTGCCAATGCAAATGACTTCGTGGAAATGCGACCCGATGACATGACCTGGGAATGTTCCCCTACTTCAAGCTTTTGTGAGATCAGCCACGTTTCAAGCTGGAGAGGAGGATTCGACTTCGCAATCCAGTTTTGTTTCTGTATATATTAGTTAGATTTAGACATTGGATTCCAATTCCCCAAAGAATTCTTGTTCTTATTCTTTTCCTGGATTCTTTCCTGTTCTTTCCAGATTCCAGCGACCATCAGGTCAGACCGTTCGGATTTGATGTGGTTCACCCCTTCTGCGCCCTTCTGCTGCCAGGATTTGCCAGACAGGCACCTTGGCGAACGGGCCAGGGGTTACGACTCGAATTTATGCCCTTTGTTACTGGTAGCTGCTTGCCAGGAGCCACTAGTAGCGTCCTTACTCCTAGTAGCGATGCCCTTTGTTACTGATTGTTTCAAAAACCGAGATCAAAGCTCAAATCCGCTTTTCGGAGCTCTAACGGGGGGAGGGTCAATACGAGGAGGCCCTGAAGAGGTTCCAAAAGCAAATCCATTCTTTGCAGTTTTCTTGGGAGGCCCCTGAATAGATCGAAATATAAGAATATATCTAAACAGATTTGGATTTCTATTGGGATGGATGTTATGCAGTAAATCAAGAAGTCAACATGTATATGGGAGTTACAGATCAGGACCCATCGGGCTTATAGCTTGTTGTTTGATTCCGGTGCATCCTGCTTACTTGTGTTGGGGTTTGAAGCACGGGGACGCCTTTTCAGGGACCACAGTTGTCCTCGCATGGTCTGACATCAATCGTTGGCGTAGACAAGAATTACCTCATGTAGCCATGGCATGTAGAGCAGCAAGAATGAGTTCACCTTTGACCGTAAACTGTACCAAGATTTACTCATGGCCTGAACGGCTGCAAGTGCGTGCTCCATTCATGCAGTTTCATCATGGCGTTCTCGAACTGAAGCCTTAGATACGGTTGGGGCTGCTGAGCTCGAGCATCATTGTTCCGAGCCACCATGACAGAAATAGGTTTGAAATCAGTTCATAGAACAATGATTTTATCAGCTTCTATCATGATCCCAAAGAATTTGACCCACATGGCTGCGCTTGACTTCCCACAGGGCGCTCCTGTGGACTGGGAAGATGGCCCATTGCCGCATTGCGGGCTGCATGGGTTCTGGTTGATGCCAAGGCTGCGCAAATCCAATTGCCATGGCAGCTGGCTACATGTGGCGTAGCCGGCGTGGCGTTTGCTCTGTGCGTGATCTTGACGTTGCTTTGCTGGCGACACGGCCTATTGTGTAGCAACCGGAGGCACCTTGAAAGCCTACCGAGCCAGGAAGTAGATTTGGAGGCGGGGCTAGGCGACTGGGACGCAAGGTGCGCGTGGGACGCAAGGTGTGCGTGGGACGCGAGGTGTGCGAGCCAAGATCCTACAAGCGCGCGTCAAGATCCTGTGAATCAAGTGGCCTGGAGCGTTTCGAAGATCCAGGGCTGGATAAAAGCAAGAGTGGCAAGGAAAACGTTGTTGCGGAAGAGAGCTGCGTGCTGCCGAATCCAAAGAGCTTGGCGCGCTTGGCCTTTGGACCGGTTGGGCGCGAAGATGCTGCAGGACTTTGCAAAAAGAGCTGCCACAAACCTTTTTACAACTTCAGCGACTTTGATCCTGAAGACCTCTTGGAGGATAAGTTTGAGGAGGGTGCTACATGGCGTGCAATACAAACTGCCCCTGCACTGTTTCAGCAAGCTCCAGCGAGCGCTGCAGCATACGCTTCAAGCGTTGAAGGTTGCAGGCTGACCCTCACCCGCCTTTCAGGCGATGTGGGCTGTTGGTGCCGTGCTCTGTTTTGATTCGCCCAAACAAATTACCAAAAAAGGGTTTGTCATCGTATGGGTGTTTGTAGCAAACCCTGCGCCCAAAAACCGGGGGCATCTTTGTGTTGCTGGGGTGAGGCTCACAGATTCAAGGTCCGTGGCCATGTGATTGCAGCAACGAAAGTGGTGGGTGGCGCCCTTTATGAGGTGCATCGGCTTTCAAACGGCACCGCCTGCGTGGAACTCACCGGCCTTGGCTGTTACCAATGCGTCGGTGCTGGACGCCGTTTGCTGGAAAACCTGGAGCAAAGAACCCGGGACGCCGGACACTCTGCCGTGGTACTTCTTGCAGCGCCAAGTGCAATTCAATTTTACCTCCGCTGTGAGTATCGCTTTCTGACGGAACCTGCGTGGAAAGAGCCTTGTTGTACTTGAGTTGCCGAGCTCCCTACCGTCACGCAGCAATGCTGAAGTATGTGTAGCAAGGATGGGCGCAGCAAGGACGGACTTCAGTGCACTGTGACTGTGCCTGCAGCGACGCCGGTTCATCCGCGAGTGATCTTGGCTACTGTTCACATTAGTATCAAGCCGAAGCGAGTGATCAAGCCGAAGCCCCCTAGTACCTCGACCGCAGCCGGGCCGAGGTACCGGTATCACATTGGCCTCGACGCCCAAGAGGTGGGTCCGAATATAACCGAACTGACCGACCGGCCGGACAGGTGAGCCTGTTCTGTTCTTTTTTGAAAGGCCCTCTCAGGTGCATCATCTGTTCGGTTTTGAATTATATAGTAGGATGTTCAACTTTTTGAACGACACCCGAAGGATTTCATCTTGATTCCAAGAATCCAAAGAAGATCTCGGTCCAATAATATTGTCATTATTGATTTCAGGGGTGTTGAATCATCGCCCTGAAGCGCATTTGTAGACATTGTTCTTGGCGAAGTTCAAGGCTCAACCTTCTAAATTGATCAGTTTCTGTTCTAAATTCTAAAAGAGCAGATCCGGTTTCCTGTGATCTAAGTATAAAGGAGCAGATGACACTTGATGACCATCATGTGGAATATGTGGGCACTCCAGAAGCATGATTAAAAGACCCAAGCAGGTGTGGGATTTGGTGCAATGTTTTCCCCACAAGACTTGCAGCATGTGCGGCATGTGCCTGACCCCGAAGCTGACAAACCACCCACGTGGAAAAAATTTTTCTTGCGCCTGAGGGCATTTAGAATCACCATCTTCATACTCACTCCACGGTCTTGGGGAGGCGACGGGCTCAGAGTGACCCCAGTGAGGCGAATGGGATGACGCGGGCACCAGCAGCTTCTGGAGAAACGACACGGACACCTGTCCGACCGGTGCCGGGGTGTTCATCGACTGGGCACGACCCGTGTGGTCTCCAGGCCAAGGCCGCCCGGGCTACTCGAGCCCATGGCGTGAAAGGGGCCGGAGTGAAAGTGCAGGAAAAGGCGACTGGTGAGGGGGGCTCAGGGTGTGTGCTGCGGGGTGGGCATGGTGAGAAGCTTATAAGGCTTAGTCATATCCCCGGCAGGTGGTGAGGTTGGAGGATAGGTGTCTATGAAGATACATGTATGATTTTGATGAAGATTTGACATGGTCAAGTTGAGAATGGATCAGACATATTGTTGTTTGCACTTTTGAAACCATCTTAAACAATCGGGGGTCACACCCACCTAGTATTTCGTTGTCCACCATGCCTGGCTTGGGGACGATACCCCTGGAAAACTCTACAAATCACACAAATACACTGACAGGTCCGGTTGTTGAGGCAATTGGATCAACATAGGGCAGGGCCTACATGGTGAATTGGGGTTACAGAATATTATAAGACAACGCCCCAAAGACATACACCTGCTTGAATAGGATGCTTTTTTGGTCTCCCTTAGGACGTGGGGTGCCATCTCATCGAAAATCGCTCCGTTGCTGGTGGACAGCAACGACCCTGACCGGAGAAATCGAGCAGGTCAAAGTTAGGTTTATGGTGGTTTCAGCATATCTCACTACGTAGGGTGCTTTCCTTTTGATCTCAATAGCCTCTTCTGGGTGAAGCTCGAACAGACCCTGTGCTCATCTTGTGGATCTACTGACAGCAACTTTCGCCAGCTTTCCTCCACCGGAAGCACCCCGACTTCACATCATGGAATCGGTTCTTCACCTTCAAAGTTGCGAGCCATGGAATCGAGCTTTTTCACCAGTTTTTTTTGACCCAAACATCCAGCACCGTTCTTTTTTCACCAACACGGTGAAACTCACCAACTCACCCACCTTTCAATCGGGGCGCCTCCGATTGTCCAGGCGCGACGCGTCGAGGCCGCTAAGCCTCCCCCACCACCGGCAGCGCCGTGGTTCGGGAGGCGCCGGGCGTTCCGGGAGCGGAAACAGACGTCGCCGGGGGTCGGTTCTAGGCTGGTTGAGCCTTCGAACGACGCGCAACAAAGAGTGAACAGAACCATGTGAAGCGGTGCAATCTGAAGTCCCAAAGATCGCCAGACCCTTGTGGTGCGCTAGACCGAAATGGGTTGCTTGGATGACCGAAATGGGTGGACCTTAGCGGACCTTGGTGGATAGATCCTGGAACTGCAAGGGTCACCGAAATGGGTGAATCAAGATATCACCTGGAAATTTCCAGGTGCACCTTGAATTAGGGTCACCTTGAATGGGTGCAATTTCCTCAAGATCCAGAAATTCGTCTTCTTGCAGAGTCGAAGAGGTTTACTTAGGGTCTGTCCTATTGCCTGTAGAGCCGTCGGTCAATAAGAACATCACTATTTTAGAGAAAGGCCTTAGCTAACCATCATCCGCTGGGCACCCGGTAATGGGATAAGATCTACTCAATGTGTGATGAGGCATCCTTTGCAACTCTCACCATCGGTGGCAGTGTGTGCGAGCAAGCGGTTTTTGTGGCCAGAAGCACACCTACTTTGGGGTCCCAACTAGATGGGATTCCCCAAATTCCCATCCACCGAGTCGGACAGATCCATACAAAGAAGTCCATAAGATGTCCATCTCAGGAGCGCGGACAGCTTTTTCGTGATCCGAGTCGGACCGACGCCCTGTAGCGAGCTGACCGCATGGATGGGGCCTTCCTCGGCCGGCTGGACCGTGTTCGGGGGGGCGGGTCAACGTTCCCATCCACCGGGGCCACGTAGAGATGGGTGCTTTATACAGTGCATGAAAATGGGGAGACCTCCCAGTTCGACCGCCCTGGAAGAAGAGAAATAGACTTGTCCCAAACCTTTTGATACCAGTGCGTTCCCTCAACGCACCAGCAGAGAACCAGGGTGATATTCTTTAAAGCATTTCTGAATTTCTTGGGTAGTTTCCCGGGTTTCTCCTTTGGGTTGTAGCAACCCCCACCGGTTCTGTCGCTGGTTGGCACCATCTGACACGGCCTCCGTCTGCAGGGCGAGTTCCAAAAGCACCTCGAATGCAGAACGCATGGGGAGCGTCCTTCGTGGCCCGCGACGGATTCCTTGGTCGTTGCTCGGTCCCTTTCTTTCAAAAAACTACAAACTACAATGGAAACTAATAGCGATGGCCTCCAACCGATCAGCTTCTTGTAACTAGTAGTAATGGCCTCCACCCTAGAAGCGATGGCCTCCACCCTAGTCGTGATCCAACATGGACTCATTGGAACCCCACGAATAGGCCATTTTCAACTTCCATGATTGTTGGAGGGAGGGTAGTACGATGATCATTTGTCAAGGTTGGCCTGTTATTTGTCAAGGGAAGGATTCTCTGGTCGTCCAAATCGTACAGGCCAAGCTTAACAAATGATCATTGGCAGCCTCTGACAGGCTCAGCTTTGAGTCGTGACAAGTATTTGTGTAAACGAGAACACAGGATACACAAACCTACTCTTGTGCACCTTGCCCACGTGGGATTGTATTTTATTGGGGGGCTTGAAGCATATCTCAGAAACGCGGTCCGGCAAAAGTCCAGTTCAAAACACGAAGTTAATGTGAACTACAGAGACTTTTCGCCAGTCACACCTCTGAGTGAGGTCAAGAAGAAGAAGAAGAAGAAGAAGAAGAAGAAGCGGAAACCAAAGAGCATTCGGTTTGTGGTTCAACATCTTCTGAAACATGGGGCATTTGATTGAATCTCAGTTGAATATTGGAAGTGCAGATGCAGAGGAGGTTTCGGGTCACTGCAATTCGCTGAATAATTTTGGGAGACTGGAGAGGTCGGTTTCGACGATCCAAGCCACGGTGGTTCTCGGTGGGTTCAGTCGACAGTGGATTTCTATAAGTGGCAACTCTAGGAACAGAAGACGATTCAGAAACTACAAGGTGTCCCGATTCAGAAACTCACCCGATTCAGAAACCTAGTTTCCGAATCCGGGGCCACCTTAGTTTCCAAATCCGCGGTTCTAGTTTCCGAATCCGCCGTTGACCCAACCTAGTGATAGTGGATCCCATATGGTGATGGGTAAAAACCCGGAGCCCTGGTCCACCATGTAGCTTGACCTTGCAGGTAGGTCAACCACGGGGAGTTTTCCTGTGTGACCCATGATCCCTCATTATCAGACAGACTTTTCATAAAACATACCCACCTATTAGGGTCCCAAAACAGCCTGTCGGAGGGTCCTGGTATATGAGGCGTACTTGATTGCACTTGATCACCAAGCCCCTATTTCACCCAGAGGGACTTATCCCAATTGTCAGATAGTTCTTAGAGCGGAACAGTCTTGAAAATTGTCCATCCCGCAATGCAAATACTTTCGACAAATCCTGCGTATTGCCTATAAAAACAAGCATGGACACCGTGCCAATCCCGGCAGCGCCTAATTAGATGTTTTTTTGTCACCGCATAGTCACCATCGTGACATGGCCAATTCCTACTTCCCTTTGCAACTTCGCTTGTGTACATAGAGCGTAGTGGATCGTTCCATTTTGTACGGAATTGAACCTCCGGAGCTGAAGGGTCGTTGGAAGCGTGCAGACAGAGTCCACCCTTTTCCTTTCTCCAACAAAAAAAATGTGTTTTTTTTGCCAAGTGAAGCTGGTTTGGAGATGACGACCGGAGCCCCATCCTTGACACAAAAACCCCTGAGACCGTCCAAACGTCACTAGCAACCGAGATCTGGCAGAAGAGGCCCACTGGAGCTCAGGCACGGGTCACAAACAGAGAGAAAGGCTTCCTGAAGCCCAGATGAAAAGCTAGGCAAGTCGAAAGAAGGGGTACGACTATCGACATAGTGCGACTCCACGTTCGTTTCCTCTTCCAGGTTGGACGTGGTTTTCTTTGACCTCCACGTTTTGGACAACTAGACACAAACGCGGTGGGACGAAGGTGGAAAACTGGAGCGGACCGGTGGTGGTCTGTGGTCCGTCACATTCGGTTTCGGGAAGAACAACGTGTTGTGGAACGTGTGGTGTTCCAACAAACTGCTGGGTCACTTGGTGGAGCCTTTGATTCGAAATGGAATTCTGAAGAGTTCTTGGGAACCAACATAAAGAACTATTTGGGGTGGTGAAGGCTATGCTGCAACTCTTTCTCTTGAGACGACATGCGGACTGGCAGCATGGACACACATGAATCGAAATGAAACCTTGGGATTTCAGCCGGCTTGCGTTGGATGTCATATTCTTGCCGTGGTGCTATGTGTCGGCAATTTCTGCATCGTAAATTGCTGGTGAATCCAGTTGTTTGCTTTGGATGACTCACGGTGAGTCAAAAGGAACCGGCAATGGGGGTTGAATGGGGTTGATGTTGCTGTAGGCTGAAATTTGTGGATCCTGAAACGAGACCCCTTGTACATGGAAGGTAGAACAGAATCAGAGTGAGTGAAGCCCCTGCGCAAAACGAGACCTTTCTGGGGCCCCCGACCATCCTTCCAGAGTTTCGAAACAGCATGGGTTCCAACATGTTCCAACCAACTCGCACAGTGCCCAACAAAAATCACCAGGAAAACCCGTGTTGCAGAACATCGTCCCGGCTGATGATCCAAAGGACAACCATCCGGCTCCGTTGGAAGCCGACCGATAAACACCTTTACTTGCCTCGATGCACTGTGGCGAATCGATCGAATCGTTCACCCCACGTTTTTGTCCGGAAAGGTTTCAGCTCCACAGCGCCCCAAAATGGCCATTCTGTTGGAAGCTTTCTTTGTGTAACGAAATGGGCATCGTTTCACTCACCGGAGATGTTTCTTTTCATTTGTTGGAGAAAGACCCTTTGGCTCCCGACCGCTTCGACGGATCGTGGACGACCGCTTCGACTGCTCCCGACCCGATCCGATCGTACTGGTCGCGACAGGGGGGCGCCTGGGTGGCTTTCATCAGTTAGCCTTGACGGAGGATGCAAGGCCACTCGCGACCGTCGCACCAGGTTGCGATGCCAACAAAGCCGCCGTTGGCCGCAGGTGGTTGGGGGGGACTCCCAGAGACTTGAGGCAGTCCGACTACACGAAGCCAAGCGAAAGAGGGCGAAAGGAAGGAATACTAACCGTTCCTGTTGCGCTGGCGCAAAGCCCAAGTCTGGGAGGTCGTCATGACAAATATTTTTCACGGCATTCCCTACATGGTGCAGGATGGACGGTCAGGGACTCTTCATCAATACTTCGTAGAATCCACACCGAGCAGGAGCCAGTCGGACGTGTTTTTCCAAGGCCAAGTGAAAAGAGTTCAGTTCCTGGTTGCGGATCATCATTGTGTGACCCAACTACTTGGGTGTCCATCACCAAAGCAGGCAAGAAACCAGTTGGTTTATGTTGGTTTTACTTTACGGCTGAGAGTCTTTGGCATCATCCACAAAAATCCTTCAATCCAAGGTCTTGCTATCCAGGCACCGTCTTTGTGTTTGGAGTTGCGTGGGTCTGCGTGGGTGGGTCGAGCATGAGGGAATGCCCGCATCAAAGAGGCACAGTGATATTCCTCCTCAAGTACAGTTCTGTGGTGTGCCGCTGCTGCTCATGCCTAGGCCTAGAGCATGCCTAGCCCAGAACGGCTTTTGCTTTGTTATTTTTTAAGAGTATAACTTTGACATGTTAGATTTACGCAGGATGGGCGTTGTGATGAGTGGAACACTTAGGTGGCAAAATTTCGGGATGAACACGAACACTCATGTAAATCCCAAGTAATCTTTCTGAGTTCACCCTCTTCCATCACCACCACGACGGAAAGCTCGTCCAGGAACCCTTCGGAGCCCTTGCCAGCTGCGTCGCTCGTGAAGCCGCTGGGAGTTCGGACGTGATCGGATCACTGATTGGGCCCCCCCAAATAGATGGACTCTTAGATCCCTCACAAAACATGTATTGGACACCGTGCCACTATCTATTTGGGGATCTATCACTATGTTTATTGGGAGGAATTCACCTTCAACGAGGGCTGCAAGCTAGAAAAGGTGGCTGAGGAAATACGGCTCCTGTCTTTTTCGAAGGACACGCTGAAAACCGGCCTGGCGGCGGGCAACATTTTTCATGACCTCGAATGATTTCTATGCGGTTCAGACCTGAAATCTGACTGTTCAGTGCACAGTGCATGGACACAGGCTGACTTGAGGAACTTAATTATAGAATAGTATCTTTTTTTGGGGGTGCTGGGCGTTCGCGTGATCTTAACTCCTACTCTGCCAGGCCCTGCCCCAAAATAGGAGCTGTTCTTTTCTTGTGATAACTCATCCGCTGGATTTCATCACTGAGTATCAAGAGCTGCAAGATCATCTTCCCGCCCCACAAGTCTTCCCATGTTTCCGTTGACAGAAACTCAACTGACCGGGTCCAACGACAGGACCTACACATGCATGATCTACACGCAAGCTCAGAGATGACAATGCAAAATGGAGTCACCCACATACAAGTGAAGAGACTCATGAAAGGCATTTGTAGCCTTGCATAGACTGGACTAGTGACCATGAAAGGCATATTTCTGAAGCAAGAGGAGCAGGGGAGGTGGCCGCCTTCGGTGGACGATTTGGCCTTTGGTCCACCGGAGGTGGTGATACGATTCGACACCGGTCGAGACCTCGGCCGACGCGGAGAACAATCCGATCCACGCCGACGTGGGCTCACGTCGGCCGCGGCGCGCCGGATGAGGCAGGGGGAGCAAAGTCTCCGTGAGATGAAGGTTAAGGAGAGAAAGCATGCCGTTGGTCCTTGGTCGACGTGCCATTTCACGAGGGGTCATCATGGGGAGGAAGGGCTACTTACTTATAGAGATGTTATAGTCATAGTCATAGTCATATAGTATTTTTTGGTTTGAGGGTTTGTTTTAGAAGACTGGTCCTGGGGAACGAGCAAACAAGCTGGGCGTTGGTTGATACGAAATCTCTTTTGAGTAGCTCTGATGGGGAGGTCATCTGTTACGACAACAAAGATCCCAGGAGGGACAGTCATGGACTGTTCACCAATACTTTGTAGAGTCCACACTTATCCTGTCGAAGTTAATATTTTTCAATGCCAAGTGAAAAGAAACAGAGTTCTTGGTTGCGGATCATCGTTGTGTGACCCAACTACTTGTTGTCAATCTTGGTGATTTGCCACACTTCGACATTGGTTTTCAGTTAACTCAATTGCCACGATGAGAAGGAAGGTGAGGGAACCGCAAGGTGGAAAGGGTCGGCGCAACTGAAATTGTTTAACAAACTGTTTACTCATCTGCAGAACGCGCCCCTGCCTCTTTTTTCTGCGTTGAGAAACTAATAGGTTAGTAGTGATACCAGGAGCCCTTAGTAGCGTGTAAACCACCATGGAAGCAAACCAAGGAAGATTAGGGTCACAGCGTGGTCAACAGTTTGGAACAGGTACACAGTGGGGCGTCCCCCACTGCATCAGCACCTACTGGCATCCTCTTCGTTGGACGGGAAATGCCAGTGGTGTCCCGTCCTCCTGCTGGAAACGCGAGAACCCTTCGGAACAGGGCTGGACACACACACACACACACAGAGAGGTTCAAAACTGTAGTTGGTACAATTTGGTACATGGGTTTCACATGGGGTGCCCCCCATGAGCGTCGCGCGTCACCAACTGAAACGAACGAAGGAAGGTCGTCGTTTTGCTGTGAAGTCTCGTTGAGCAGAAAGCAGGGTGTTCAGTGACTCGCATCCCAGACACTCCATGATGTATGGAATATCTACCTACATTGACCCCTTTTCAAGCACCCCAACTGATCGGCCAGTATGCCAGTCCCATGTGTTGTGTTTGGGCATGGGATTCAGGTGGACCTTGGGCTGAACCGAATTCGGTGAGATGGATCCGGAGTCTGGTGAACATGGTGGTTTGAAGTGTGTTCCAGGCCAGTCCCCTGGAGCAGCGACATGGAGCCTCCTTTTTCGACCGAGTTGGTGGTCCAAACGGGGCAACACACCGAAGATGACTCCCATCCTCGGAATTGGTGAAACTGTCTCGTTGTCGAAGCCTCTCGTGGTCGAAGCTGCCTCCCGTCCCTTTTTCCGGTGAGGAGATGGTCTTGGCTTGGATTGTCGCTGCTCCGTCCGCACAGTCGGTGACGACTTCACCGGTCGGATCACCTCGGCCGTCGGGCTGAGTCGGGTCGAGTCATCGAAAAACAGCTGGGGGTGTAGCACCGGGAATGACGGGAATGGTCAAGAACTGAGTGGTAAAGAACCTCCAGAACCTCCACTTGGATTCTTTTTGGTTGACTCCACGACACTGAGACCAAGATTCACCCTGCAGAATGAATTTGGCGCACAACACCCGCAAGTAGTCTGCTCCACATAGGCAGCACACTCACATACTGTACCAGATTACCAGGCTTCCCCAGACACGTCCACAAGCCAGTTTTGGGGAGACCACGATCAGAACTCGACCATGCACCTACCTCAAGAGGGTGTCCTCCTGTTTCAAGACGCACTTCGTGTCACCTCCCGTCTTGCCCCTCTTCGCTCAGGTTGCCACACTTCTGACCTTAGTCCTGCTCTTTTGCTGCAAAGTGCCTCCGCTGGTGTCTCTGGGCCCTCGCAAGTGACCGGTTCTCGGCCGGTGGAGGTTCGCCTGAGGCGGTGGCACGGGAAGTTCTGGGCAGAACGGCCAAGGATTCGGATTTCGGGGTGGTCAACGGCGAAGTGGTTGAGACATGTTGAGATGTTGGGAAGTTCCCCCAAAAGGAAACAGTAGCCGCTACCATAGCGGCTATAGCATTCTGGTTAGGGTGCGGGTCCCAACAGTTAGGCCACAATCATGACCAATCATGCCCAAGAGTCTCAGGTATTGATCTGTGTATTTCGGTCATTTCGGCAAGAGATTCTCCCAAGTCCTTGAGTCTTAAAGACTCCCAGTCCGCCAAACCTCTTAACATCCTCCCGACAAATGGGGAGGTTGGACTCCACAGCTCCCACCAGTAGGCAGTTGTCAGGTCCCACCTTTCCAAAACGGAAGGCAGTAGACAGTTCAACCGGGGTTTCACCAAATCACTTTCCTCAGAGTCTTTGGGCAAGAGAGACTCAGATCAACCCATCGACCGTTGTGCGCCTCTGTGCGCCTCAAGACTCGTTTCAATCCACCGTGCAACGGTGGCTCTTTCACCGTGCAACGGTGAACACGACCGGACGACCGAAGAACATGAAGATTGTTTCTCGACCTTGGGCGAGCGACCTCGGATCCGTACGGAGTGGTCGTAAAAGCGAGAGGTCCCCCTCAAAAGCGATTTTTCAGAACGCTGAATTATGGCCTCTACTTCTTCCGTTTTGGCAGACGCTGAAGTTGAACGTGACTCACAGATCTTCAGATGAATCCCTCAGACAAAAGTTCAGGCTGCGCTGCAGAATGAGCATCCTGGAGAGAAGGGTCTGTTTCAATGGTTCTTTGAGATCAACAGATCAGGAGATCGAATGAAGAAGGTTCTGTGGTTCAGTCACCTATCTTGCCGCAAAGACACAGATTTCGATCGAGTCACCTTTCACTTCTGGAAGGTTTTCCGGAAAACAGCAAGAGATCTCAGGAGTCTCAGATTTTTTGGACTGATGCCCTCCACCCCAACAGACGGTGGACCCTTCATCTGGGAAACCAGGTGTCTTCTGCCGCCGTCGGGCCGTGCGCTTCGGTCGTCGAGCTCACCGCGTTCTGCCGGCGTTTAGACATGGCCGGCATGGATGGTCAAGACACGGTGGATTTGCCCGGCATAGTTGATTTTTGGTAGGTTCCGTAGGTTCCGCCTATGAAGCCTACAGGTTTAGTTGGTCGAATGACTCTATGTTCATCCTTAATCAACCAGATTCAACTAGAGATTTCAGAACATCTGACCATCCAGATATCCTGCTGTTGTTTTCGCGGCTGTGAGGACTGGGCCACAACGGGGTTTGGCACTTGAAGCGCGTGATTGTTTTCTTTTTTACTATTTTGTTCCCTCTGATTGTCGTGATTCAGATGGAGGTATTGACCAACCACACGCGCAAAATTACAGGGCAGTTCTGAAGGACTGATGAAGACCCAGCTGGGGGCTTCGAAACACACCCACTTGTTGATCGACAAATGGTGATGTCAATACCTTCCATCTCATTGTGCCAGCAACTGCAGTTGTGTAGTAGCGATGTTGGGAGTGAACCTCAATCCCAGAATAGGTACTGTAAAGTGACAACCAACCTGTAAAATCCCAATCTTGAGGATTCCCTTTACTGCATACACGAACTCTGCCTGACTCTCGTTTTGGCCCCACGCTTTACAAGATGACCAGCTGCTTTGACTTGTCCACGTTTGATCAGCATGGCGTAGGGTGATGCACCTTGGGGCCACATGTCTCGTTCAAGTCGGGCGAGCCCCGGGAAAGACTCCATGTGGCGGGTGGACCTTGGGACGTCTTCATGGCGGGCGACGGACTTCTTCTGTTGACAGGAATCAGCCTTGATGAATGACTTCTGTTGTGTGACAGCGTGGGAGATTCGACGACTCCCGGACTTTTGGTATCATTTTTTCCCGGAAAAAAAAACACATGTTTTCACTGTTTCGGAGCCTCCCAACCCAAAAAACCGCCAAACGAACGAGCCTCCAAAGAGTCGTAAACTCTGATTTCGGATCTGTGGAACCGGCCTGAAATCGTAGTAAGAAGTGCCTCGCTTCTAGTAACAAGTGCCATACTAGTAGTAAGTTAAACATGAAATTAAAAATAATAGCTTCTTAATTACTACTAGAATCCTATCGCTTTTTCGTTTTGAATGGTATCGGGGTTGCCCCGTTCGTTCGGTCGTCTGGGCCCATCGACCGATCGACCCCATTCCCGTTCGGTGGGACATCACTCGGTGGGGACACTCCACTCGGTGGGATCCTGCCCCACATGCGAAGACGGACAGGTTTGTGCAGAGACTGGAGAGGACTGCCTTGTGACACCTGAAAAGACATCTGTGTTCTGTAGAAGGGTCGATATCCCTTCAAACATATATTGGACTTCATTTTGATCTATTTGCTATAGAAGAGTGTCCTTTCAAACATGTATTGGACATATTGGACATCGTCTCTTTCTCCAACGTCTCAAACTGGCAATTGGAGAGGCAGTCTCGCCATGCCTTACCCCGGATTTCAGGGCTCTACCAATCCTCGGCCCGGCCGTTTAGCTTCTCTAGTTCCATCGGACCGGTGTCAGGGTCGAAAACGTGTGCATTGTGCACTGCACGACGTGGATAGGTTTGGTGTGTGGGTCCAACAAATGTTCTGTGGGTGCCCTGAACAACAAAACCCTTACTGTTTGTTGGGTTTGCTTGCAAACCTCGTGTTTCACTACTTCCATGCTCCAAACTCAGGGTTTCCATTACAAACCTCGGGTTTCCCAAGAAACGCATAGAAAAGCTCTTTTTCTCAGTATAGCCAAGAGTTTTGATCGAACTATTCTCAAAATCATTGGAGAAAGCGGGGTCAAGCTTTTCTAGAAGACCGAACCCGTGATGGACATGTGATGTACCCGTGACCACCCATGCTTTCCCGATCGAACCCCTGGGTTTGAGATCCGGGTTTCCCCCGAAAAAGGCCGACCACCCGTTTTATCTTGCGTTGTGATGGACCCGTTTTGTCTGTGGAAACCCCTGACAAGCCGTGAAAGAAAGACATGGGTTTTGAACCGTCACTGATCTCACTGGTCCAGCCATGGTCCAGTATGTTTTTTTCTGGTTGCCAAGAACCAAAGCCCCGGGGGCAAACCCTGGTTTTGAACTCGGGTCTGGTTGGTGAAGGTGAGGTGAACACACAGATCTTTTTTGAACTGATATCATGACAGGGGGGTATCTATACCAAGTTTCTGAAGGGCCACTATGTGAGAAACTTTGCTGGATGGTTTGGACTACTGACAGACGTGACAGACGTTTTCAATCGGTTGGGCTTTTCGGGCAGTCTAAACCCCACGACCCTGTAGAGTTTGCTTTTGTTTTCGTTGATGGTTACCCTCCCGGACCCTTCCTCTCCAACAGGGCCCCTACAAAAAAAGCCGTTTTCCTTTAGACGCGGGTCACGTTCAGCTTCCGTTTTACTTTCTCGGTGTACGGTTTTGCTCCAGAGTGGAAGTCCTACTTATGTCCCAGCAGACCACCTTCCGAGACATCCCATTGCAGCCTCAAAAAAAACATAAAAAGAAACACATCCACCTTGGGTTTATGGGTGCAGAGTTCTTGTGTGTTGGGTGAGGTTTCCGGCGCAATTTTTATCCCCAAGACATTTTGCCTTTCCGGACGGAAGTGCTTCTGATGAACGAGGTTACTGGGAGCCGGTCTCAGCTTACAAGATCCACAGAGTAGAGAGAAATTCGCATCACTTTGGAACTTTGGGGCACTTTCACCAGGCTGTGAGCTCTAAGCTGCAGCCCTCGTTCAAACTAGCTGCGTTTCCCAGCCATGTCTCCCGAGCCACACGGTCCACTGGAACCTGGCCTTTGCACCCGCAAAGCGGTTTTTCGGGGCCTCCCGCAGCGCGTTTCGGTGGCGCCCGTGAGGCCTCACGGCCATCTTTGCCCGGTGAGGTGGGGATGAGTTGGGCCGCCGCGATCCTTGCGACGGTCGAATCGTCCTGTCTGTGGGTTGGAATGGGTCTGTGAGCGAGGTCGGTCTTTGTGAACATGAAAGCGACTCGGGTGTAATGTTCGCTGGTTGACCAAGGAGTGATTTGGTGCCATGGACTTTTGGGAGAGCAGAAAAAGGGTAGACGTGAAACCCGTCCAGTAATGTTTTCCATCTTCACCTTTGGGAGCCACTCAGATGTTTCAGGGTTCGAAACGAGGTGGGGGGTGGAAGGCCCAGGCCATCATTTGGGTCATGTTGCCCAGGTCACAACCTCCCGAGGGTACGGGGACGGTTGTTACCGAGGGGATTTGGTCGAGTTTGGGGGGTTCATCCTGTTTCAGCACGAGTTGAAGAAGGGTATTTGGGGGCCTCTCAGACATGTCAAATAAACGCACATGTTTTTGAGGGCCCAGTTGATCTGTTGTCTGGAACGATGTCTTTCTCGGCTTCCCATTTTCAGCTTCGAGCTTCGAGGAAAAGCTACTCACTTGAGGTTTAGGGTGAAGTGAGCCACTCCCCAGACAGAAACGGAATGCGGGTGGACAGGCAGAGCGTTCGTTGGTCGTTTCGTTGCGGTCTCCTGAACTGAATCCGGGAATCGATTGTTGCATTTGGGGTTGGCCATCTTGGATCCTTGTGACCCAAGGGTGTGCTTTTCTGCCCAAAAAGACAAGGTCCAGGGTTAGCCCTAATTTTCTGGGGTGGATGAGCACATCTTGCATGTGACCCACCAAAGGGTTTTCTCTGGTTCCACTCTTTGTCATGGTCGAGCTTGGTGGAGAAATGGCTCAGAGACTATGAATACTGCTGCGGATCCACACTCCAAAGAGATGCTCTTTGTTTTCAGGGAACCAGTCATAGAGGTGGACAACAGGAGACATACCAGAGTTGTATCCCGGAGTTGTATACTGTACATATAGCTCCATTAGCTCCATCTTCGAAAGTCTTCCACAAAAACGCGCCTCAGGCTGGAGCACTGCTGAATATCGCC